AAAACAGAGAGCCATTGAGGTGAATGTCCTAGAGTAACCTCGGGTGCAGCTGTACCTGTTGGCAAGTCAGCCCTACTGGAGCTAAATCCACGCGGCTGACGGTACCCCTCGACCTGCGCTTCGCAAACTCCAGCCCTTTCTGCTTCCGCCGATTCCTCACCCGGGTTCCTAAGAAGGCTGACCCTTGGGGTAGGTCCTGGGAGTCTTTGAGAGCGTGGGAACAGGAGCTCCCAGGCGGTGACACCGAGGCGGCCATTGTGGACCTCCTCAGACCAGACTCCGGGCAGGGGCGAGCCGGGGCCGGAGACGCGCTTTCATTCTCCGCCCCCTAGTCTGGCTGGAGAGTGAGGGACGCGCTCCGAGTCCCACACTTGGCTCCTCTCCTGCTCCTTTCCTGAGCGCCCAGGAACGGCCATCTTCCATGCTGGGGCCGCCAAAGCCCTCGGGCCCAGACGCCCCCTTTGGGGCGTCCGTGGCTCGGGCTGAACCCGGCGGAAGAAGCGGGAGCGTGGTCCCTGCGCGCGCGGCAGATCCCGAACGGTTCTGCACCGCTCGGATCTCCACCGCGGCGCTGCCTTCCAGGGCCCGAAGTCCGACCCCCACGGCAGGTCGGCCCAGCTGTCCCATGGGACGAGGATTCGGGGCAGGGGATGAGCACAGTAGATACACTTTCCTTCTCTCCTGAGCTTGCTCCCCATGCCCCATTCAGCGCCGGGGGTTTGTCTGGCGCCCGGGGACCCATGGCTCCCGACTCCCGCCTGCAGCACGGAAAGGTGGCGGGAGAGTCCCCAGACCCTTACCGTAGCATCTTCCCCTGCGTAGTGCCCGATGACCCGGTGGCCCCCCGGGTGCCGGCTAGCCCATTTGGTGACGTTGTAGACCTTGCGGTCGACGACGAGCCACTGGTCGGTGCGCACGTTGTGCTTCTGAATCTCCTCCCAGCGGAAGGTGGGAATCGGCGCCTCGCGCTCGGTGGCCCCTTCGCCCTGGTTCCCCCCCTTTCCCATGCTGCCTGCCGACCGGGATCCCCCGTGTACTGCAGCCTCTCGGCTCCGATTGCCCGAGTGTGCGGCTGGGCCCTCCGCGCCTTCGGCTTTTGTCTTCTGCTACTCCGCCTCCCACCGCGCCCCCTCCCCCATCCTCCTCGCCCTCGCTCGGGAGTAACCCTGCCAAATAGCCCTCGGAATGTCCCTGGCTTTTCAGTGCCCCTAACTGGGCTCCCGCCCCGCCCTCCGCCCGCCAGTCCGCGATGGACTTTTGCCACCAGTAAAAACTCGCGGGTGCTCAGGGCCCCGACGCCTCCTCCTCCCGCCCCACCGGTTCCCCCCGCCCCCGGCTCCGCATCCTCCCGCGTTCACCGCTGCCCGGGTTTCCACAGTGATCAGCAGAGCGTCTGCACCAATCCGGGCGCGTCGTCCTGCCTGCCATTGGCCCAAGAGGATCTTTCGAAGGCCAGCGGGCTGGAGCGGCGGT